GCCCGGCCTGGATGGAGAACCCTTACATCAAAGTGGCGACAGTCGCCGCCGACCACCTGATGCTGCGTGACGCCAGGGGCCGCCCTAATGTCAAGGTGCTGCGGCTGGAAGGACTGCGTAAGGCGGGGCTTTACCTGGCCTTCCAAAGCCAGAGCGCCTGCATGGCGTTGCTCTCCGTGCGTGTGTTCTACAGGAAGTGCCCGCCCCTGCGCCGCGCCTTCGCCTCTTTTCCTGAAACCGTCCCCCACTCGCTGGTGGAGCAGGTAACCATAGCAACAGTGGAGTCTAGCGTTCTTGTACATAACAAGCTCACCTTTGAGTTTAAAAATAAAAGCACTGTAACTGCAGCTTTTGTGTCTACAAGCTTTTATTTTGACATTCTGCTGCAGGCTCAGGGTGTGTGCGTGGAGAATGCTGTGACGCCGCCTGGCGAGCAGTCACAACCTCCCAGCATGCTTTGTGGTGAAGACGGGGAGTGGGTAGGACAGCCGACGTCCAGCTGCGCCTGTCGTCCTGGATACGAAGCAGGAGAGACCGACGTACGCTGCAGAGGTGAGAGTGCAGTCCATAAAACAAAAGACCTCCTGTTAGTTTTCAAAGTAAAAGCGTCGTCACTGAGATGGAACGAATGAATCCGGCACATTCGAAGGCCCGAGCCGAGACCTCGGGTTCACCGTCACGACTTGAACTCACTAACAGCTCCGACCATCACTTGTTTTACAAAGTAAAAGCTTCTCCTGCGCGCCGCTTCATTATCAGCACTTAAAATTCTTCGTGGTCAGAACTGCGAGTCCGAGTAAACAGAGAGGAGAAGCTGGAGGCGATTAGAGGGAGAGAGAGCGACGTGTTGACAGTGTGAGAGCGAGCAGAGCAGGGGCCCCAAAGTAAAGCAGGATAAAACTCAGCAGTAATCAGATTACTCTCAGTGTTACAGCTTTACTCAGTAAACACTTTAAATCTGAGGGAAATGGAAACATAAGAAAGTGTTTCTCTTTCCCACCATGAGCTCAGATCACAACGTTTGTTTACATATAACCAGATTATAACCAGATTACAGTCGTTGTCGTACGGCGTGTAAGAGGATTCCTGAAACGTATCAGTAAACAAGGATTACTGTTTCTGTAATCAGCACAGGCATCAGAGGAAGCCGTCACTTCCACAATAAGACCGCAATTGTTTGACAATAGACATCACACTGCTGCCAAACATTACATTTTGTAATGTTTTTATTTATGATTGTTATTAAAGTTATAATGAGAAGAAAACTGATCTTAAGATTAAAAAGAGTCAAAGATTTATAGACAAACAATCTGAAATAAAAAAGCTTTAATTGTTTATATTTTGGTATAACTGTACCTGACTGTCTGACTGTGATACAATATTATTATTATTATTATTATTATTATTATTATTAGTAATATTAGTCCTACAAATCTTATTAAAGTCAAAATAGTCACAATACAGAAGTTAAATCACTTAAATTACAAAAGGTTTTGAAGAAAAAAGTAAAATGGTGTTGATGGAGTTTACAATAAAGTTTGTTTAATATTGTAACAAAACAGACAAATCTGATGTGTGTGTTAATTGTTTCAGCAAATCAGCAGTTTTATTAAAACTTGCAACATGTTGAAAAATAACTCTGTCAACAGTTACAAATAAATGAATGTCTCAGGTCATCAAGGTGATTAAAAACAGCTGTTGTGTTTTTATACGAAATTCAACTGAATTTCTAAAACAATGAAAAGAAGGCCAAAATTGTATTTATTAACAAAATTAGTAGAAAGTGAGTTTTTAAAAGTGTAAACGTAATATTTTTATGAAAAACATCCAAAAAATGAAAGAAACTTCTGTTTTAAAGTTATAACGAGTCAAATGTTAAAGTCCTTTAATTAAGAAACATGTAGATTTAATTTAATGTTATAAAAACATTTGTTGCGTTTGAACTGAATATAATGAAAATAAGAT